TTTTCTGAAGTGACCTTCCAGAAATCTGTGCAGATACAAACACACATCTGTCCGCCCCCTCCCTTTTTTTTTTTTAAAGCAAATGAAAGCAAACTATACACAATCTGCACTTTGCTTTCTTCACACAGAATACATTTCAGCACATAAAGTGCCACCTCAGTCATCTCTACTGCAGCATGGTTACTCTATTATATGGTATTCTATAATTTACCTTAACCAGCTTTGATGGACATTCAAGTTGCATCCAGTCTTTTATTATAAACAGTGCTGCATTGAACATCCTCACACATCTGCATGTGCACTCATGCAGCAATATCTAGAGGACAAATTCCTGGAAATGGAGCTCTTGGATCAAAAAGTTTGCAAGTTCAGATTTTGATAGACATAGTTAAATTTCGTTTGCTCCAATGAAGTTGTAAAATATGATGGCATTTTGTTGCCTGGACACTGGGGCCTGGATGGCTTCTCCTCTTACAGTACCCTGTCTAGCCTTCCATCATCAAAAGCTCCTCATACCATAGCTTGACACGGTACTTCTGCCTTTCACGGTACTTCCCCCACTCTACCCTTCAAGAAAGAACACTATTCAAAATACAGTCTTCTCGGAAAATTTAAATCTCCTTGGTTGTAACCGTGGTCTGAAAGGCTGGGAATAAATGTCTTATAAAAATTTAACTGTACTTTGATTAGCCTAGGGAAAGGCAGTGTTTTAGTTTCCTGAGAACACACTCTTTTAAATATTACTTCCAGGTACAGCCATAGCTTTGGGGTGGTTATGCAGCTCATGTTTGAGCCACTTGGATCTCTTCTCTGATCAAATTTTTTTGTAATGACATCTGCATTACAACTCGAGTTAATCAGGTTAAGTCCACTGCTCTGTTTCTGTAATGCCTGTGGAGCACAGGGTAGTCTTTGCACCTAGGAAGATATTAAATTCAATTTTTTTGCTGAATGATCCATTATAATGCTATTGGCTTGCAATTTTGTTTATGGAACATCAAGATGGCAAGTATCACCATTCTATCATAGGTAAATTCTTTACTGCTAAGCTGACTACAGGGTAGGAGGCAATTATGAAGATGGGAGTAAATTTCATTATAAAAAAACCCAAATCTCTTGAGCTTCACATCAAAATTTATAATCTTTAGTCCTCTTTTGGTTTTCACACTTGATTTTCTTCAATAGTTGGCAATTTTTGTTAGGGTTGGGCAACACACTGAGACATTGTCACACTTCAGAGTACGGAAAATATGATGTTCTACTAATGTCTGCATACAAAACGCAGATTTAAAATATGCTTGCAAAACTATGGTTATAATTTTATTATGGGGTAACATTGACCAAATGAGATTCAATAAATATTTCACTTCCAAAAGGAACATTCTTGAAGAGGTGACTATAGTTAGTATATTGGATTGAAGTACAAGCCTAGGAAAGCTGCTGATTGTCTAATGTCTGGGAAGTCGGTATAAAGTTGAAGTTAAAAACCTTTTCTGCTAAATCCCAGTTCATCTTTACCAGAGCACTTTTTCTCAGGAGCTCAGTGAAAAGGGGAGACTATAAAATATACCTAACAAAGCATGTCAGCAGCTTGAATGAAGCAAACCAGTCCAGATCTGAGAATCCTAATAAATAAATGAAGTTGAGCATTTATTGCCAACAACCATGTCACTCGGGCCACAGAAAACTGGAGCCGTGCAGCTGGGAGATGGGAGTGTGCAGCCAGAGAAGGCAATGGAACGCACCCAGGTTTGATTATTTATGGCGTGCTGATGAAGAGACAACTTTCCTTATGAGGAACAGCTTAACAGAGGAAAAGTCAAGCTAAACCAGGAAGAGGTCCAGAGAAAGAGAAACAAAAGGGGATATGAATAAAAATGACAGCTAATAAAACAATACAAATCTAAAATGCTGTAACTTTCAGAAATAATTTAGGGTCAAAAGCAAAGAAAAAAAATGCCTAGTTTTACTGGCTTTGGGGTAAATTTCCAAGAAGCAAAAGACATTAAACAAAATGAATGTGCTGAATTTAAGACCAAATTTGCCTTCGTGCCTTCCTACCTGTAAGATTGGCTGCTCCAAAAGCTGGATTTATTCATAAAAAGGGATGTGGTGATTTTGTGTGTACTTGGCTAATGCATCCATTTTCCATAAATGCCTACTGTGCACTATTCCATGTCAGATGTTATGTGCTGAATGAAGAGGCTGCCCTCATGAGGCTTAATCTATTGTGGGAAGTAGGTGAGTCCATTGTCAAGTCCAGGATGCTACAGTGAGTTCTGTGACAACAGCTGGATAAGGTCTGGAGAAGGGAAAGCAGGGGCAGACTGAAGGAGGAAGACAAAGTTCAATGTGGAAGCTAGAATAGAAATTGAGTGAATTTTGTTTTTTTACTGATTGAATAGACACTTACCATCCCATCCAAACCCCAGTTTGATTAAAAATTATACTTTTTATGCAAAGGTACAAATTTCTATGGTCATAAGTAGTTTCATCCTTAAATTCTGCACTTGCAGTCTACCTGAGCTGTTTATAATTATTTTTCAGGGCCTCCCCTGGTGGCACAGCGGTGAGCGCTGGGCTGTGAAGCTGCCCGCAGCCTCTGCAGCACCAGTTCGATCCTGGCCGCCGGTGAGGGTCCCACATGGGGCGCAGACCTCTCCTGCTGTGCCCGCTGCACCCCTCAGCAGTGTATTTCATCGGTCTGCCTGTTCTGTTCCCCGCTCTGGCTCTAGTGAATTCTCTCACCTTTCCGTGCTTCTGACTGCACCCAGTCCTTGTATAAATAAATAAATAAATAAATCTTTAAAAAATTATTTTTCAATGGTATAACACACCTCTTCTTCCATGTCTGACCAAAAGCATAAGTACCAGCTATCCAAGTGTGTCAGATATTTTATTTGTGTCTCAATGACTCTTCGCAACAATGCTCTGATGTAGGATCATCACACTGATTTTAAAGATGGTGGATGGAGCTATAGAAAGGTAATTTTCTCAGCATCACACGGAGTAAACATCATAGCGCTTTCTTCTACAACTCACTGCTTTTGGGTTAAATTAGGTTGGGAATATGCCAACAATACATTTACACCCATGAAAGGTTTATCAATTAAAACCCACTGGTTTATCAATTTGAGTTGTTCCCAAATTCACTTTCATTTAATTACTCTCTCTTTTCTTTACCTCCCCAATAGAAGTCCTGCTTTCTACCATTCTTGCTAAAGAAACACTACTCTCAAGAGTCAGAAACTCCTTATCTAGATGGCATTGGGGCTGTTCCCATTGTAATTTAGAGGTGCTTCTAGCTGAGACCTGTAACAAGCATTCTATTTGAATGAATCCATATACACAGGCATCTACAGAGGCTCCTCTGCACCGCACGCTTCCTTCTCTCTTAAAACAAGTATTCTTAAAGATGAGTGCACCTCCCTCACTACCCTCACAAACAGATCAATGACCTGATAAGGGGATCTAGCCAGGGCATTTAATCAGGAGCCAATCACATTTCTGCTTTCTGTCCCATTCCTAATTTCTCTTCTTCCCAGGGACTATCTAAGCCTTTGCTGCAATACTATGTGGTTATTAAACATTGGTCACAGATGGATGTTGCCACAACCTTGGGAGGCTTCAGGCTTTTCTTTATGTGCTGGTTGGATGTGTTCTGCTCCCACACCTTTGTTTCCATTTGTAGCCCAGACCCATACCTCTGTCCTTGGCCAACTGGCCAGTATTTTAAAAATACTGCTCATTATCTAAGGACAGGGTAGCCTGTGAATTATATTATAGTTTATAGAATTCAAGTCTCAAGGTTTGAATTCATATAGTATTCTTGGTGGATGTCATTGTTTAATGTCCTCAAGACCAATAGTCCAAAAACAAACTAGGTACTGCACAGAAAGGGAAAGCTATTTCATTACTAACCCAATTCTAAATTTTAAACATTAGAGATCTGATATTCTCTCTTTGAAACCAAGGAGAGCATGCTCAGTTGATAAACCACAGCAAAATCTTTCAGCAGTTTTCTATCTGTTAATTCTCAAACTTATAAATCCACTTGCAAAAAGTCAAGGAATTGAGCTTCCCCTTTTTTCCTATACTATTTGAGCCAAATTATGCCTATGACCACTTGCTTTTAAAACTAGACATTTAAAAAAATTATCTACCCAAAGGACACAAAACAATAATTCATATGGATACCTGCACCACTATGTTCATTGCAGCACTATTTACAATAGGTAAGATACGGAAACAATCAAAATGCCCAAAAATAGATGGCTGGATCAAGATGATGTGGTACATATACACAATAGAATACTATTCCAGCAATCAAAAATGATAAACTCATGCCATTTGCAGCAACATGGATGGAGCTGGAAGGGATTATGCTCAGTGAAATAAGCCAGAAGGAAAAAGAAAAATATCAGATGGCTTCCTTTATAGGAGGAATGTAGCAGTACCAAATAAGGGACCAGGGAAAATAATTGTAATAAATTAAAAACCAAAATTAACAGGCACTTATTAATCAGAGACACTCAACAGGGGAGGGGGAGGGATCAAAACAGGGGAGGGAATGTGTTCTTATACAGGGACTATGGTGATGGTGCAAGGGTGATGGGAATTTTGCGGGAACTATACCTGAAAAGAGAAAACATGCATTGTATTAAAAAAAAGATGTAAAATACATATAAAATAAAATAAAAAATATTTAAGACCCATATCAGCTTACTAGAATTTAATTCCTCCTCTGCTTAGGTAACTTTAATGTAGAAAAATGTTCTGATGACTCCTGGGCCAACAAGGCCAGTCACATGCACAGTATTTCAGGAAAAGTGCCCAAACTTCCTCTAAGAAAATGACTTTGAGACTGAAAGGTTTGTCACCTGGAAATATCATTTGTCAATCTACATACACAGAAAATATTTGAACAAATATACAGGTACATTCAAACACACGTGCTTTTTTTTTTTTTTTTTTTTTACTGAAAAACACATCCTCTACATTTCAATTTCCAAATTTTGATTTTATTTACTCTGAAATAAAGTCTAAGACATTAACAGTTATAGAATTTTAAAATTAATCTGCATACGGTTAGAAAAATATGCATTAAGGACATACATATTTCTTAAGAAAATAAAACTATGTACAAAAATCATTTCTGCTTACCAATCCTGATCTTATCTAGTGAGATTTTTATAATTAAACACCACCCAAACCTCAAAGTTTTGAGAGAAAAGGCAACAGCAAAGTCCTTGAACCTCTCTGGCCCCAGTGTTTCATTTTTCAAATCCATTGGAAAGCTCAATCACTCCTTGGATGGAGAGTGCATTTAAGATTGTCCAAAGTTTGGGAGGGTCTTCACATTTGTGTTGTTGTTCCCAGTGCACAAGGAGTTCTTCTTTCCTTCTCAATGTCTGTGCGCAGAGGATACAATTAAAGCCAGAATGGGACTGTAGGGGGCCAGTTTGGGGGCTGGGACATTCAGGGCCCTGGGGGTCTTCTCTTGGCTCACTTCGCGCTGGCTGGGCTCCGTCATCTTTCATGAGTATTTCCACATCATTCTGATGATGAAGGTAGAGTTGCCTTTTCAGCCTAGGAAATGTGTGTAAATCCTCACCTGAGGGGCAATGCTTTTCCTGCTTTATTCTCTCAGGACACTGTTTCCAGTGAGAATCAGTCTGTTTAACCAGTTCTTCTGGAGTGCCTCTGCTTCCTGGTAAGAGCCCTTCTTGTAGTCTACCCTGAATTTCTTCTCCATGAACATAAAGTAAATGAAACTTTATTTCAGCAAAAGACTGAGCAGTGACCTGACAGCGGCCACATTTGATTTGTAATTTGACTTCACCTGCCTGGTTTAAGAGGAGGTCTTCTTCCAGGCATGACTTGTTTTCCCTGAGAAGAGGGAAAACAGTCTATATAAGATTTATGGAAAGACATAATAAGAATTTTTCCTTTTAGCTCTTTGTCTCCAGGGATCTAAAGACACCCACTGATGAGAAATACAAATGCCGGGGTACACAGGCAGACCTTCAGCAAAGGCCACTGTGAACACCAATGGTACTCTTACTTGGGGCCACATTTTCAAGCTCCCAGGGCCCATTCAGTAAACAAGTGTTTCTTTCATGCACCTCCCCAGGAGTGCTAACTACCACAGGAGCAGTTGTAATCAATACCAGAGTCAGGTAGTGTAAGTGAGGTGCTTGGGTCAGCTGAAGGTAACCACCCTCCCACCCCCAGCTCTCCCTGACCATGAGCAGCGAATGCAATTTGGAAGTTTTACTGAAAATCAACATGTACTATAGGAAAACACTGGAAAAATGAGGTTTCTTTAGAGTCTGTAATGCACATTAGTAGAAAGCACAGATATCTAAAAGGGGACAGAAATCCCTAAAGAAAAACAGGGGGGCCTCCCTGGTGGTGCAAGGGGTTAAGCACCGCACTATGAAGCAATCCGCAGCCTCTGCAGCATGAGTTCGATCCTCGGCCGGCCAGGGAGCAACCCACAAGGGGCAGCAGACCTCTCCTGCCTCACCTGCTGCTCCCCTTAGCAGTGTACTTTGGTCAGTCTTCCTGTTCTGCTCCCCACTCTGTCTCTGGTGAATCCTCTCAACCCCCCGCATCTCTGGTCTGTGCCCCAGCTTCCCAGCTCTTGTATGGATAAATAAATCTTTGAAAAAAAGAAAAACAGGGAAACTACAGAAAGCTAGAAAGAAATGGGACAGGCATACCTTATTTTGAGTGAACATGACAGATTAAGTAGAAATGGAATGTAAGTATTTAGAAAAATTAGGACAATTAAGAATAATGAAGGGTAGCAGAGTGCTAGAAAATTTTCACGGAGATAAGGAAAAATCATCTCAATGAAGATGATTTCCACTTTCTGTGGAAAGTGGACAACAGAGGGAGTTTCGTGGTTTACTTTTCGCCTTAAGACCCGTCTAACTGGCTCTTTGTGTGTGTGTGTGTGTTTTAATTTAACTTAGTATCATTGTTTTACATCCTTGTTATTATTTTGAAAGTAAAGGATTTCTCCCCTCAGGTTTCACCGTTATCTTCCACCACCAAAGCACTCGAAATCCTTTACCAAAGTTCACTGTGCTTGCCTCTCTCCCCGCCCCCACTTTACCCCTCCTCGCTACCCAGAAGTTATCACTTATACGTGGAATATGGGGCCTCCCTGGTGGTGCAAGGGGCTAAGCACCCCACCATGGGGCAATCCGCAGCCTCTGCAGCATGAGTTTGATCCCTAGCCAGGGAGATTCCCACATGGCGCAGCAGACCTCTCCTGTCTTGCCCGCTGCTCCCCTCAGAGGCGTATTTTGGTCAATTTGCCTGTTCTGTTCCCCAGCATCTCTGGCCTGTACCCCAGCTCTTGAATGCATAAATAAATATTTAAAAAAATAAAGCTTTTTCCTTTTATACGTGGAACATGAAGAAACCAACCAGAGCCAGTCAAAAACAAACATCAAAACCAACCCCTTAAAGCTGAACATAGAGCTGAAGCATGTTTACGACAACTGGAAGCAGTACCTGCTAAGGGACTGACACGAGAAAAAGTTCATCTGCCCTAATGGGAAAAATCAAGCAAATGTGGAGAGTCGGGTCAGGAACCTTAGGTCTGGTCAATGTAGGAGGCCCACACTGAGGCCCCACCATGAGTCATGCTATGCTCTGGGGCAAATGATGCTATTTAGATTAACATTCTGTGCACGACTTTGAGGGGAAATTACTTGTAAAGATTATAAGAAACTAAACACAGTATTTACCACGTCATATTTCAGATGCAAAAAATAATCTCTCACCCTATAGTCCCCACCATACCATGACTGGCATTTGCGCCCCCGGTTTACAGGAGTTAGGGCACTTAAAAATCATGACTGATCAGAAACCAAACAGAAACGAGATCTTTCTTCACAGAACTAGCAAGGAGAGGCAGGTACCTTATGAAATCTTTATCTATCAGAAGTTTTTATGAATTTGTTTTTCTGAACATAACATCCTACCCTGTCTTCCAAATCCAAATAGATTATCTCCCCAGGCTTCCCTCTTGTTGGCACTCACCTCTCCATTGACCCTTCCATCCCTCTGGCATTCACGTCTCTGTTCCTTGGCATGTCCCCTAACTGCAGTTCACTTGGGGAAGGCTCGGTGCTGATGACAACCCTGTGCACTTCTTTTAGATGGCCAATATAGACTCTGATGTGACCAAACACTTTTGCACAAAATTCACAGCACATGAGTTTCTTCAGACGGTTTTCACTGTGATGGAGTTTCATGTGTGTGCTCAGGCTGCCAGAATGCACATATGCTTTGCGACAAATCCGACAACTGTAAGGCCGTCTGTTAGTGTGTGTATTCATGTGATCTCGAAGGTGCTGTTTGAATTGGAAGATGTGGTTACAGAACTGACATCTGTGCCAAGGCTTCTTAATGCCAGAGAATCCATTTCTGAATGCACAGCTGGATTTAGGGGAAGGGCTGCCATCCGGCTTATAGTCAAGATTTTTAGGAGTGAGTAAGTTGCTTAACAAAAGGCCTTGCCCTAGACTGTCTGGTGTTTGGGGCTGCAACGTAGCTGCAGGAGAAGCCAGAGCAGACATGACAAGTATAGGTTTAGGCATAATGCTGCGGTATTTTTTCATAGCCCCAGGTTTTGGGTCTCTGGATTCTTGGGTATTATTTTTCAATCTGTCATTTTCTCTGCCCTTATTGATGATGTATTTTCTCCTTTTCCCCTGATATGTCAAAATTTCATCTGGAATCTTTCGTTTTCTTCCTCTTCTCTTTGTTGCCCCCCTGCTCAGTTTCGTTTTGTGATTTACATCTTGTTTGGTGACTGGACAAAAGGGACTTTCACAGGGACTCTGCTCGGACACCTGTAGAACAGGTATCTTGCCAACCACTTTGGTGGCTGCATTAAAGCCTTCTGTGACAGAGGATGTCTTATCACAGTCTGTCCGGAGTTCAGATAAAGAAAAATCTGAATTGTTAACATCTGATTCACTTTTGCAAACCTCTGCTGTTTTCACTCTTGAGTAGGGCAAGATTGGCAGTTTACCTTTGGGGATCAATTGAATTCCACTGCCCAAAACTGCTGGGGATAAGTTGGTCACAGATTTTGCAAGATGAGTGTGTTCTTTGAATTTTTCACTGGCAACAGCAGAAGGTTTACTGGATATCTTTTTGCTTGCAGAGTTTGCTTTCCCAGAAATCTTTGTGAAGCCCTGTTTCGCAGAAGGTTCCCCTGGTAGGGACAATGTTGGGCTGGCAGTAGAGTTCAACACTCCCTGGCCTTGGGTCACTAGAGGTGGAGAGTGTCCATGGCTACCTCTGTCGGTTAGCACAGTAGAGCCCACACTGGCTGGGGTGTGGTCTAGGGATGGCATTTGCTCAGATGGGCTGGGTTGATGTGGAGGTTCAGGGCGATCAGGTGGGGAGGCGGACATTTGGGTTTGAGAAGGAGGTTTGCTGCAGCCACTTTCAGGGGAGTTCAGAATGGGTTTCTTTCTTGATCCTTTGTTGAGTTGGGGGGGCTGGTATCGTGGAATAGGCAGTTTAAGGTTTTCAGGCAGGGGCATTATGGGTTTCTGGAATGGCTGAGCTGAGGCTACGTGTGGCAAAGCAACAAGAGAAAAAGTTCCCTCCTGTCCAGCCACTTGCATCAGAGCGTAATTCTGGGTGGGCATCCCTAAGGGTGTGGAATTGATGGAGGGTCCTGGGTTCCCCTGATCACAGAATGATGGTGAATGGCATGACAACACTCTGGATGCTGGGACTTTGGGCACAATTTTTGGTGCAATGGTCCTAAAGTGACTTTTATTCTGCAAACCTTTCCCACTCAGATTTGTTCCAGAAGGGATGTTTGGTTCACCTGCAAAGACAATATAATATAAAAAGTCATTATTGAGTAACTGGCTTATTTTTGAGAGTGCAAATAAGCATCATATCATTTACTCTGCCTAAAATGCCTTCCTAGGCCCAGCTCTACCCTCTGGGAAACTCCTGTCCTTCAAGACCCAGTTGATGGTACTCTTGCCCACCTTCCACAAGGACTGATAATTATTATCCTCTATGGTTCCATAACCCCAGTTAAGCTATTTATCACTTTTTGTAATAATTTTTCTGTTTGTGTGTCTCAACTACTAAACAGAGTTTTTTAAGTGCTGGGACTCTGTCCTTCTCACATTCATAATTTGCAAGTCAGTCCTCTTCCTTCACCTAATTCTGATTCACTGCTACAGACCAGAGCAGCCCATTCTCCTTTTCTGACTGCCTGAGCTGCAAACTCTCCTCTGGCCACCTGCTCTAGTTTATTCTACTGTGTATTTTTCTTATTTTACATACGTGTCTTGTTTTCCCTATTAAACTTTTAAGTTTTGTAAGATGAAGCCTATATTTGATTCATCTTGATATTTTCCACTCTGTCTTTGGTGTGAGACAAATGTTTCTTATATTAAATTCATTTTTCATTCCATTTCAGGATACATCATTTGACCCATTGGCAGTGCAATTTGTTTTGCACACTGGATGAATTCCAGACTGAATGCTAGCTTTGTTGCTGTTTCCTCATGTGACTTGTGAATTTCTTCTCACACCTTTCAAACTGTTTATGTGTGCTTTTGCAATTAAATCACCAGTATTAAAAAAGCTGATGTGACACCTTAAAAAATGTCGAAGAAAAACAAAAAGATAAAAAGTTACAAGATGCAGAGACAAAAAATATATGAATCACACAAAAAGCAGTTTTGAGGACATTGACAGGAACAATTTTAACTGACAGAATAACACTTTATACTCTAGGTTTATTAGGCTGACCAAAGGCCAATTACCGCAACTCTAAGAGAATAATCAAGGAAACATTTGATGCACTACTTCCAAGGACAGAATCATTGATTTTATTCCATGAAGTTTCAAAGGTTAAAAGGGCTACCTGCAGAAAAGTTTCCCATTACTAAGTACCTCATATTGGTCAAATTGTACTTCCTCTCACATTTACTAGAGACTTACGCTATTCCAGAACTGGCCATTGTAGGCAAACAATCCTTTCTGGAACCTTTGGGGCCAGAAAGGATTTGGAATGTACACTTTCACATTTTAGAAAAGCAGTAACATGAATATACCAAAAAGTTACATACTCCCAACAGTCTGCAGAACATCCATGATTGAACCTATTACCACTTCCATAGCAAAAGACAAGCATATTCACAACAAAGGGGACAAAACTAATATTATTAAGTAGGTTTAATTCAGTTTACTTTTTGCCTCTGAATGACTTTTGGTACTCAGATTTTGTGTTTTCAGAGCTTTTTAAATTTTGAAGTAGTGAGTAAGGGATTAGAGAACCATTTGTTTACGGGATAACAAGGACACAAAGATGAACAGATTTAATTTCTGCTTTCAGTAGCAGCTAGCAAGCTAGTGAAACATACAATTAAAAAAAATCAAAAATCAACCTTAATTTTAAGGTCTAAAGTTAGTGAAGTACATGCAATTTGCAGCAACATGGATGGAGCTGGAAGGGATCATGCTCAGTGAAATAAGGCAGAAAGAAAAAGAAAAATACCGGATGGTCTCACTCATAGCAGGAATCTAAAAAACTTAAATAAGGGATCAGGAAAATGAATAACTATAAGAAAGTGAAAATCAAAATCAACAAACAACTATGAACCAGAGACACTCTATGGGGGTGGGGGGCGGGAGGGGAGGGATTGGGGTCAAAATAAGGGGGTTGCAATTGTATGGGGAATATAAAAATGAAATTTATTAAAAAAATAAAGTTAGTGAAGTAATAATTATAATAGTAAACTGATTCTTTCGGCAAAAATGATATTTTGCAAATAGGTCACATTCACATAGTAAGTGACAAATAGATATAAGGATGAAATGCATACTGATCAATGTATTTTAAAAGTAATTACTGGTTGGTGAAGAAAATGTATGTTAAAAACATATTTCACATGGTAGCTCACATTAGAGTAAAAAGGAAAAAGAATAGAGCTATATAGCCTAGAGAAATCAGATAAGGATGATTAAGTAATCTGTTGGTTTCTTTTTTAGTTTTACTACCTTGAATTGATTAGTCCGTCACCTTGCAATAGTCACCTAAATAAATCTGCCATACTTGTTTGTTCTTCCTACATAATTTTATTCATTTTAAATTTTATTTTCATAGCTTTTTAATAAAAATGTCTTTCATGTTAAGTCTCATCTTTTTGTCTTTTGGGAAGTATGAGAAGTACCGAAGTAAATTGTAAGTAAATGTATTAGGATTGAAAGAGTTCAGAGAATGTCTAAAATTATTGATGACATCTTTTGGTTGCCCAGAGACAAAATTTATTAAATAATTACATTAACAAGAAGAATGGTCTTTGCATCTACATAACAATTGGGGGTGAGAAAGGGAGAGAAAACTCTGGGTCTTTTATATCTAGTACACATGCTGATTGATTGTGCAGAAAATATCTATAGCAGGAACTAGAAGAAAGCCTTTTGTCCTTATTCAGTGATAAACCCTCTTGAAACAACATGTGACTATAATATATCACAACATGAGGCACAGCACCTTAGTCATCTGCTCAAAACTGTTCAAATGCTGTTCATCCCACAGGCAAAGCCAATGGCCATCCAGCTTCCAGGAGCCACTGTCTCCCTCTACTTGCTGCCCTCCAGCTATGGTGGCCTCTGTGGCCACAGTGCTTCTGCGGAGCCTTTGTACATGCTGCTCTCGCTGTCTACACACTCTTTCTCTGGATAAATCCCCAGAACTAGCTACACCACCTCCCTCAGTTTAGTTCAAATGCCCACTTCCCAGTGAGCTTTCCCTGACAACCTATTTAAAACAATCATTTTGATCTCTTTACTCCTCTTTCTTTCCTGCTTTAATTTTCTCCAGCACATCTGCTTCATCTTATGGATGACATTATGGTCCCCTGTGTTCCTTTCACTGGAGCAGATTCCTGGAGGGTAGGGAATTTGTGTTTTTAAGACCTAAAGCAGTATTGGGCATGTAGTAGCAATTTAACATTATTTATTGAATTTCTAAGTGATAATAAAGTAACCAATGGCTGAAATAATTTACAAAGTGAGTCTATTCTCTCAAAGGAGACTAGCATTAGGGGTGCCTTTGGGGTTCAGGCACTGGGGGAACAAAGTGGTCAGGATGGGATGGATGCTTATTTTCCACTGAATACTCTTTATGCTGGGCACATAGGAGGTACTTATATGTATATATTGGTTGAATGACTGAAAGGAAAATGGAAGTTTCCCTATTTGTATCTGAATCTGTTTTTAAAATGGGTATTTTTGAGAATATTCATGATGGGTAAGTGTCTATGCAACTTTAGATTATACACAGAAAGTGTTTAAGTTTTTTTTCAGGTTATTTCCTTGCCTACTTAATTTCAAGAATTGCTAAACATAAGGGATATAATCGCATAATATGACAGGCTGTGCATAACTACACCCAAAGGTAAATATTGAGAACTATGTAGCTCATTACTTCCAAAGGACAATTGGAATTCTGAGAATTATTTCCCCAAACACTTGGATCTTTGGAAAAAACAAAATAATTGCAATAAAAGTCAGTTATCTTGTCTTTTTTTTTCTTTTTCATTCCTTTTTTAAATTAATTATTGAGGTAATTGGTTTACAACATTGTGTATGTTTTAGGAATACAGATACATACCTCTCCAAACATACATTACCACACCAGAGCTACCACCAAAATGCCAATAACCCTCTAGCACAGTCCATGGGATACCGTCCAGCCTTATCTCCCACCCATCTGGCCCTTCGATAGTTTCAGTTCTGCTTTCAGAATCCAAGGGTTTCTTTTGGTTTATTCATTAATTTTGGTTTTTATATATTCTGTGAGTGAAATCATCCAATATTTATCTATCTCCTTCTAGCTTATTTTGCTCAGCATAATTCCCTCAAGAAAATTAAAGCTAGATCTACTACATGATCCAGCAATTCTACTTCTAGGTATCCAAGTATTAAAACACTAATTTGAAAAGCTATATGCATGCCTATGTGCGCTGCAGCAATATTCACACTAGCCAACGCAGGGAACAACCCATGTGCCTGAAGGCAGACAACGGGATAAAGAATATGTGGTATATAGACACATGGAATACTACTCAGGAATAAAAACAAATCTTGCCATTTGTGACGACATGGATTTTTTTTTTTTTTTAAAGTAGCTAAACAGGAGTCCTTAGAGAAACTGAAAATGCTTCTGAATCATATAAATGTTACCTCAAAACAAAAATGAAACTATACCAAAAATTAAATTATGCTTATTTCAAAACAGTAACTTTTATTTTATACTTTTGTGTTTTCCAAATCCTTTTTTTTACAATGTGGTATGTTTTTATAGCTAGAAAAAATTTAAAAATAAAATGCTCAAATAAGAAATAAATATTTTTCTTTTGGATCAAATAATAAAACCACTAAGATAGTATGATTTAGGAAGTCATTCTTGGCAATGTAAGTACAACAGTGGTTTAATCCACTGCACATTTACAAGGTCACACAGATGGTGTGATCTAAAACCCCTCACCTGTCACCTACTAAATTACAGATCTTATAGAAGTGTGCACTAAATAATGAGAAGTAGAGATTTCCACTAACATTAATAATTTCTGGAAATCCTGCGAAATTACCCATAACACAGTTAAAGAGACTCAGAGGACTCTCAGGCACTAAACATGAACTTTTATTAACTGAAAACATTAAAGGTTAACTCAGTAAAATTAATTTTGCACAATTACACAACATGAATACTTAATACTAAGATTTTAAATGTGGGCTGTTTTTAATATGTGAGGCATATTAAGTATAACTGTTTTGAAAAGTGACATTTGCATTTGT